CCGCTGCCAGCGGCTCTGGCCAGCTGCCAGCGGCCCTGGCAGCGGTTCCTGCTGTTTTCGCCTTCTTTCCTTGCTTCTTCTTCTTGCTTTGCTTCACCTTTTCCTCAAGCTTTCTTCCTTGCTCTTCCATGCTCCATCACAACTCTCAAATCACAAGCCAAGGTCCATCCTTCTTACATAACTCTTCATTGGTTCCCGAGCTCACTCACTCACTTATACTCATAAATCCCGCCTTTTGCACATAAGTGAGATCACAGCCCAAAACTCACAAAAGCTAACAAAAGTACATATAAAGCATCAAAACACACCCTAAAATGCTTCTCTCAACCCATGATAAGAAGGCTTATCAAATTCCCCCATGCTTGAACCTTTACTCGCCCTCGAGTAAACTTAGAGAATAAAACACATCCTCCTCACTAAGGTTCAAAACAGAAGATGGTGGAATCAAACTAGCTCTATGCACTCAAACTCAACAAAACATCCTAGTACTTATCAACCAATCACAATCACACTCCCCCATACTTCACACTTTGAATCTCCCTTTTTTCTTATTTATCAATTCATCCCCAAAATCAACTTGGAACGATAAACGCATAGCCATGAGTATGAATATTCTCAACCGCCTAAAGAAATGAAATTTTTGATAAAATTGGGGCAAACAAAAACTCAACTTAACCAAAAATCTCATAAAAAAACTTCCACATTCAAGAGTGAAAACAAACAACTCATGCTCTCAAATCCTAAGATGATCAACAAATTCCCCCAAAATCTCAACTATCTCCCAAAATCACCAAGATGAAACCTACCCCGACACCTCCTTATATCTCCTCCCCTTATGACCCGACTCCGGCAAATAGATGCGAAATTTCCTTGAAAAATCAAATTCATGAACATTTCTCTTTTTTTCTCTCATTTTGCCTAGGAGCCCTTTCGGGTTTTCATCCTAGCCTCTCATCTTTTTCCAAATCTCACTACCTCACCCGCTCATTAGCCACTTTTTTGCTTAGGTCGCCCTTTCGGGTTTTCAACCTAACCGGGCCCCCATTTTTGCCTAAGCCGCCTTTTCAGGTTTTCGACTTAGAGGGCTTCTTTTTCTTTTTCTTTTCTCTTTTTTTTTCAATTTTTTCTTTGTTTTTTTTTCTTTTTTTTTCATTGAAACATAATTGAAATAGCTATACAAAACCATTAAATTAGGATAACTATACAAATTTCAAAAATATGCAAGAATTGCTTCCCCCCCCCCCCTACTTGAATGAGACATTGTCCTCAATGCAAGAACAACAACAATAAAACAAAAGTAAAGGAAAGGGAAGAAATAAGTACCACCTTAATGGGAAGGATTCCCGAAGTTGGAAGATTCGGCATTATCAAGGATTTCAAAACTCTCGAGAAGAAAAATGAACTATGGGGACCCCAAGTGTTGCCCATGGGAAGATTATTCCAACCAAACGCATTTCTAATTACCGCATAAGGCATGACATAGTTCTTATTGTTAAAATTGAAAGAAATTCTTGACATCCCTTAGTCAAAGTGGAAAGGAATTCATCTATACCTCACATAAGTAGGTGCGCTCGTGCTCCATCACTTCCTCCAAACCAACCACTTGCAATGCCTCCAAATCGACGACTTTTGTGCATTGCACCATTCTTTTGGGCTGTTGAAGTTGAACCCATGTAGTCTTTTCTTTCGTAGTTAGACGAATGCCCATGAAGTCATTTGCTTGGGGAAAAGAGGGTGATACACCCTCCCTTGAAGTATCCCCTTGTTGTCTACCCCCTTGCAACCCTTGTAGGTGAAGAGGTTGCCTTCACTTGTTATGTCTTCCCATTGCACAAGAACGAATTGCACAAATCTCACCTCCTCTTTCAAAATACAATGAGCAACCCACCAAACCTCCAAACACCAAGGTTCACAAAATTCCTCAAATTTCAAGTTTAGAATTTAGAAATTGAAACAATGTTAAGGTTTAATTGGACTTGAAATTGAGGGAAAAGAGGTTAGACGAGGGGTTTTTAAATTTCTGAATTTTGGATTGAAAATGGGGCAAATGGGTTGTTTTGGATAAAGAATAATTGCTAAGGGATAGAGGGAAGTGATTAATTGGGGTTTTGGATAAAGACTAGAATGAATTGGATTGTAGGATTGAAGAAAAAGGGGTTTAAAAGGGCAAAAATTCAGGTATGCAGGGAATGCCGCTGGTAGCGTCTTGGGCCCGCTGCCAGCGGCTTAAGAAGGAATTTAGGGTGAATTTCGCTGGAAGACCCGCTGGCAGCGGCTTGGGACCCGCTGGCAGCGGCTTGGGACCCGCTGGCAGCGGCTGCTGCAAAAAAAAAAAAATATTTATTTTTCTTTTTTTTTTCTTTTTTTTTTTCTGAAGGACACCCGCTGGCAGCGGCACCAGACCCGCTGCCAGCGGCTGGGGCAGAACTTTGGGATTTTTTGGCTGCTTGGAGAGCCGCTGGTAGCGGCTACAGAGCAGCTGCCAGCCCGCTACCAGCGGCTCCTGCAGGGGCTGCCTCCCAAAGTCTGTTTTTACCTGTTTTGCTCTGTTTTTGCTCACAATACGTACTCCCAAAGCATCCTCCTACATAAATCCACCAAAAGCACTTGGTACATCAAAACAAAAACAATAAAAACTAAAATAAATGAAAACGGGGAAGAGTTTTCGGGTTGCCTCCCGATTAGCGCCTTTGTTTTACGTCGTTGGCTCGACACAACTCATGAAACTTCGTTAATCAATTGATGGCTCGTAGAGATCGATGTTCTCCAAATTCTCGACCTTGAACCCTTCGTAGTATGGTTTAAGCCTTTTTCCATTCACTTTGAAACATGTTGTTTGGTCTCTAAACTCCGAATTTCTACCGCTCCATGCGGATAGACCTTGTCAACTTGAATTGGACCCTTCCAACGGGAGCTCATCTTGTCATGCCACACCTTATTCTTTGCTTTGTGGTATACCTGGGATAATTTCTTGCCAGAAATGATGACGGGGTGGGTGTTGCCCCTAGTGGTATAGGTGGAAGCTTGGACTGTTCATTCAATTCCGCCACCTTCACCTGCACATTAGTAGGTATAGAAGAATCCAAGCATCACCAGACACAACATTAGTAATAGGTGTGAGGAGCTCATCCCCATGATCAATGTTAGAAACATCATGCAATATTGGATCGACAACATTTATAGAATATAAAGAATGAGTATCAACAGGATACTTTATGGTATCATAAATGTTATACACAATTGCTTTTCCCATCAACCTCCATAGTCAAAGAACCGGTAGACACATCGATTTTTGTCTTAGCAGTCTTTAAGAAAGGTCTTCCTAACAGGATGGGGGCTGCTTGTTTGTCATGTTCCATGTCAAGGACGTAAAAGTCAGCAGGAAAGATCAATCCATCAACCTTAACAAGTACATCTTCTATTACCCCCTTAGGATATACATTGGACCTATCAGCTAACTGAATTACTACCCCAGTTTTCATGCAAAGGCCCAAGTTCTAAAGATTTAAACAGGGAGTAGGGAATGACATTGATTGATGCACCTAGGTCCAACATGGCTCGGTGTAATGTGGTGTCTCCTATTGTAACAGGAATAGTAAAACATACCAGGATCACCACATTTTTCTGGGAGTTTCTTTTGGAAAACTGCAGAAACATGAGCACTCACCTTCACTTTTTCTTTTCCTCCCAACCTGTGCTTTCTCTTGATCGTACACAGTTCCTTCATAAACTTAGCAAACGAGGAACACTTTTAATCACATTCAAGAGGGGCATATTTACCCACATTTGCTGAAAGTCTCATAAATATCCTTGTCTTTCTCATACCTTCGAGTATCTTGCAAGGCTTCTGGGAAAGGTGGCACAGGCTCATAAGAGGTAAAGGTTGGCGGATTCGCCTTAGTTTCTTGTTCTACTTCCTCCTCCTCAACTCCAATCAAGTCTTTAGCCTTCTTAGGTGCAACTACAGTTTCTTGCAACTTTTTGCCACTTCTCAATGTTATTGCATTAACTTGTTGCTTAGGGTTCAGCTCCGTTTGGGATGGAAGCTTTCCAGAGTCCTTAGCTTCAAGTCGGCTTACTGCACTTGAGATTTGACTGACTTGATTCTCCAGGTTTTGAATACTTGATCTGGTTTCTTGTTGAAACTGCATCATATTCTGCTGCATGGTAGAAACATTAGAAGTTAGTGATCTAATCATTTCTTCAGTTGACATATTACCTGAATTAGAGCTTTGGCCTTGAGGTGTTAGGAACGGTGCCCTATATTGCTGAAACTGTTGTTGACCTTGAGCATGCTGATGTTGTTGGTTTCCTTGGAATTCCCATATCTCAAATTTGGATGATCTCTCCATCCTGGGTTGTAGGTTATTTGAAAAGGGATCATATCTTCTCTGCGGACCTTGCCCTTGAAAACCTAAGGCGTTGGCCTGCTCATTCTGCTCCTCTTGTAATTGAGGACATGCATCAGTGGGATGTCCATGGAGGTGCATAAACCACAAGCATTCAGTTGCTGTGGATTCCTTGAGTTCACCATGAACTCACGCATCATAGAAGTCAAATCAGCTACTTGACTCTCTAACTCAGTTGTATTCGAATTTGCTAAATTCACCCGGCGCGTGGGAGTTCTCTGACTGAATTGCCTAGAATTTTCTGCTAGCTCTGCAATCAACCTAGTTGCATCTCCTGGAGTCTTATTCACTAGCCCTCCACCACTTGCTGCATTCACCATACTCAAGTCATCATCAGTTAGACCTCCATAGAAGTATAGGATGCGGTCTTGATCGGAATACCCATGGTAAGGACAACTAGCACACAATCTCTTAAATCTCTCCCAATACTCATACAAGGATTTCATCTTCCTTCTGATCCACATTGCTGATAGCTTTCTTAAGGCTTGCAGAAATAGTGGCTGGGTAGTACTTCTCAAGGAAACACTTCTTTAAAATCTGCCCAAGTTGTTATGCTACCTGGGGGAAGATAGTAAAACCAATCCTTTGCTGCATCTTTGAGAGAAAAAGGAAATGCTCTCAACTGAATTTGTTCATCAGTCATCCAATCGGTTTTCATGCTAGTGCAAACCACATGAAATTCTGCCAGATGTTTATTCGGATCTTCGCCTTTCATGCCATGGAATGCCGGCAATAGATGAATTAGACCGGATTTTGATCTCAACATTAGTACTTCCTCCAACTGCTGGTATGCAATGCACAACGGTTGTTGGTTCAAGTTGGGAGCTTGTGAGTTCCCTTAGAGTTCGATTGTCAGCCATCTCCTCTTCTTCTTGAATATTGAAGGAGTATGTTGATTCACTGGGGGTTGTTCTTGCCTCTTTTCGCAACCTGGAAAATATTCCTTTCAATTTCTGGATCAAACTGCAAAACTTCTTTGTTAGCAGAACGGGTACTTATCATACCTAGCGAACAAACAAAGAAAGATAGCTAAGAACAGTCCTAAAATAAATTTTACTAAGATAAACAATTAAAAAGTAACGCCTTAAGTCCCCGGCAACGGCGCCAAAAATTTGGTGTGCCTCAGTCGTATGCAACCAAAAATATCACAACTAAGCTAACTGCAAATAAACGTAGTTAGGGAAGTCGAGTTCGAATCCACAGGGAAAAAGGGACTAATAACTGGAAACCTAAGTGGAAATACTCTAGGACGGTAGTAACCTAAGTAACGAGGGGGGTTTTCATGAGCAATGATGATAAATGAACTAAGTAAGAACAACGAACGTAATGAATAGGTAATCAATGAGAAGAACGGTCTTGGTTATGCGAAATCCACTAATGAACATACAAATTGATCATAGAAGTCTCCTCAATCAAGCTCTATTGAACACCTTGTTGTAGAATTCCTAGATTCTAAATTCTCATAAATAGTTAGAAATAGCAAAGCGCTCCTTTCTAACCCTTTCCAATGCACAATTCAAGACAAGCGCTCTAAATTATCCACAAGAAGAAAATAAACGGAGAAATCAACAAGGATTGAATAAATTAACACAAGCGGTCTAATTTCTTCAATAATATTATTCCCTCTTCAAGTTATCAACCAAAAGCATGCATCAATAACCTAAATTTGCTACTTTGGAAAGATTAATTAGATGCAAGCGAATCCAATAATTCTAACCTAGCAATTGATTAAAGCAAATCATGAAATTAATTCAAGGAACAATATATATTCAATAGATATTAAGAGAAGAAAGATCTCACAATTCGTAGCTAAAAGATTCAATCTTTAACCAAGAATCCGGAAGATTAAGCTTCCATGGATTCTAATTCCAAAACAAAGAATTCTGAAAATTCTAAGAAAACCCTAGAAAGCTTTTTTTTCTCAAAACTTAATTCTCCTTTTCTAACTTAAAACTTAATTAAAACTAAGCTATTTATATGTTTCTATATTTTAATAACATAACACAATAATAATAATAAAATAATATCCAAAACACGAGCCAAAACAAAGCCAAATTGCTGAAAATTAACCAAAACAACCCGAATTTCTGCCAGAGCCGCTGGCAGCTGCTCTGGACCCGCTGGCAGCTGCTCTGGCAGCCCCTCACTCTGGTATAACCGCTGCCAGCGGCTCTGGCCAGCTGCCAGCGGCCCTGGCAGCGGTTCCTGCTGTTTTCGCCTTCTTTCCTTGCTTCTTCTTCTTGCTTTGCTTCACCTTTTCCTCAAGCTTTCTTCCTTGCTCTTCCATGCTCCATCACAACTCTCAAATCACAAGCCAAGGTCCATCCTTCTTACATAACTCTTCATTGGTTCCCGAGCTCACTCACTCACTTATACTCATAAATCCCGCCTTTTGCACATAAGTGAGATCACAGCCCAAAACTCACAAAAGCTAACAAAAGTACATATAAAGCATCAAAACACACCCTAAAATGCTTCTCTCAACCCATGATAAGAAGGCTTATCAAGAATGCATTTGACTTTCACTTGATTCAAATAGTTTTGTTTGAATGTGTTTGACCTTTTATTGATTTAATTTGAATTTTTTAGATGTTTATTACTTTCATTTGAGTCAATTAGATTTGTAGAATGCATTTGACTTTCATTTGATTCAAATAGCTTTGTCTGAGTGTGTTTGACTTTCATTTGATTTAATTAGATTTTTTTAGATGTTTTTGACTTTCGTTTGATTCAATTAGCTTTGTTGAATGCATTTGACTTTCATTTGATTCAAAAAGCTCTGTTTGAATTTGTTTGACTTTCATTTTATTCAATTGGCTTTGTTCGAATGTTTTCGACTTTCATTTGATTCAATTAGCTTTGATGAATGCATTTAACTTTCATTTGATTCAAAAAGCTCTGTTTGAATGTGTTTGACTCACATTTGATCCAATTAGCTTTGTTTCAATGTGTTTGACTTTCATTTGATTCAATTAGCTTTGTAGATTGCATTTTACCGTCATTTGATTCAAAAAGCTCTTTTTGAATGTGTTTGACTTTTATTTGATTCAATTAGGTCTGTTTGAATGTGTTTCACTTTCATTTGATTCAATTAGGTTTGTTTGAGTGTGTTTGACTTTCAATTGATTCAATTGGGTTTGTTCGAATGTTTTTTACTTTCATTTGATTCAATTAGATTTGTAGAATACATTTGACTTTCATTTTATTCAAATAGCTTTGTCTGAATGTGTTTGACTTTCATTTGATTTAATAAGATTTTTTTTAGATTTTTTTACTTTCATTTGATTCAATGAGCTTTGTTGAATGCATTTGACTTTCATTTGATTCAAAAAGCTCTGTTTGAATGTATTTGACTTACATTTGATTCAATTAGCTTTGTTTGGATGTGTTTGACTTTCATTTGATTCAATTAGCTCTGTTTGAATATCTTTGACTTTCATTTGATTCAATTAGGTTTGTTTGAATGTGTTTTACTTTCATTTGATTCAATTAGCATTGTTTGAATGTGTTTGACTTTCATTTGATTCAATTAGCTTTGTTTGAATGTGTTTGACTTTCATTTGATTCAATTAGCTTTATAGATTGCCTTTGACTTTCATTTGATTCAAATAGTTTTGTTTGAATGTGTTTGACCTTTTATTGATTTAATTTGAATTTTTAGATGTTTATACTTTCATTTGATTCAATTAGATTTGTAGAATGCATTTGATTTTCATTTGATTCAAATAGCTTTGTCTGAATGTGTTTGACTTTCATTTGATTTAATTAGATTTTTTTAGATGTTTTTGACTTTCGTTTGATTCAATTAGCTTTGTTGAATGCATTTGACTTTAACTTGATTCAAAAAGCTCTGTTTGAATGTATTTGACTTACATTTGATTCTGTTAGGTTTGTTTGAATGTGTTTAACTTTCATTTGATTCAATTAGATTTGTAGAATGCATTTGATTTTCATTTGATTCAAATAGCTTTGTCTGAATATGTTTGACTTTCATTTGATTTAATTAGATTTTTTTAGATGTTTTTTACTTTCATTTGATTCAGTTAGCTTTGTTGAATGCATTTGACTTTCATTTGATTCAAAAAGCTTTGTTTGAATGTGTTTGACTTTCATTTGATTCAATTGGCTTTGTTTGAATGCTTTTGACTATAATTTGATTCAATTAGCTTTATAGAATGCATTTGACTTTAATTTGATACAAATAGCTTTGTTTGAATGTGTTTGACTTTCATTTGATTTAATTAGGTTTTTTTATATGTTTTTGACTTTCATTTGATTCAATTAGCTTTGTTGAATGCATTTGACTTTCATTTGATTCAAAAAGCTCTATTTGAATGTGTTTGACTTACATTTGATTCAATTAGCTTTATTTGAATTCGTTTGACTTTCATTTGATTCAATTAGCTTTCTTAAATGCATTTGACCTTCAGTTGATTCAAAAAGCTCTTTTTGAATGTGTTTGACTTTCATTTTATTCAATTAGCTCTATTTGAATGTGTTTGACTTAAATTTGATTTAATTAACTTTGTCTGAATGTGTTTTGACTTTCATTTGATTCAAATAGATGTTTTTGACTTTTGTTTGATTCAATTAGCTTTGTTGAATGCATTTGAGTTTTATTTGATTCAAAAAGCTCTGTTTGAATGAGTTTGACTTACATTTGATTCAATTAGCTTTGTTTTAATGTGTTTGACTTTCATTTGATTCAATTAGCTTTGTAGATTGCATTTGACCTTCATTTGATTCAAAAAGCTCTATTTGAATGTGTTTGACTTTCATTTGATTCAATTAGCTCTATTTGAATGTGTTTGACTTTCATTTGATTCAATTAGCTTTGTTAAATGCATTTGACTTTCATTTGATTCAAAAAGTTCTTCTTGAATGGGTTCTACTTCCATTTGTTTCAATTAGATCTGTTTGAATGTGTTTGACTTTCATTAGATTCTATTAGGTTTGTTTGAATGTGTTTGACTTTCATTTGATTCAATTAGCTTTGTAGAATGCATTTGACTTTCATTTAATTCAAATAGCTTTGTTCGAATGTGTTTGACTTTCCTTTGATTTAATTAGCTTTGTTTGAATGTGTTTGACTTTCATTTGATTTAATTAGATTTTTTTAGATGTTTTGACTTTAATTTGATTCAATTTGCTTTGTTGAATGCATTTGACTTTAATTGATTCAAAAAGCTTTGTTTGAATGTGTTTGACTTTCATTTGATTCAATTGCTTTGTTCGAATGTTTTTGACTTTCATTTGATTCAATTAGCTTTGTAGAATGCATTTGACTTTCATTTGATACAAATAGCTTTGTTTGAATGTGTTTGACTTTCATTTGATTTAATTAGGTTTTTTTAGATGTTTTTGACTTTCATTTGATTTAATTAGCTTTGTTGAATGCATTTGACTTTCATTTGATTTAAAAAGCTCTGTTTGAATGTGTTTGACTTACATTTGATTCAATTAGCTTTGTTTGAATGTGGTTGACTTTCATTTGATTCAATTAGGTTTGTTTGAATGTGTTTGACTTTCTTTTGATTTAATTAGCGTTGTTTTGAATGTGTTTTGACTTTCATCTTATTCAATTAGCTTGTTGAATGAATTTGACTTTCATTTGATTTAAAAAGCTTTGTTTGAATGTGCTTGACTTTCATTTGATTCAATTGGCTTTGTTCGAATGTTTTTTGACTTTCATTATATTCAATAAACTTTGTAGAATGCATTTGACTTTCATTTGATTCAAAAAAGCTTTGTTAGAATGTGTTTGCCTTTCATTTGATTTAATTAGGTTTTTTTTAATGTTTTTGACTTTCATTTGATTCAATTAGTTTTGTTTGAATGTGTTTGACTTTCATTTGATTCA